CGTTCATCTGGCCCAGCGCACCAATCCTCACAGCATCCGAACAACGCGGCAATGGCATAGAGGCCCTCGTCCGACAGGAGCAGCAACGCACGCACCGCTGGACCCGTCGCTGTCTTCGCAGAGAGAGAGAGAGGAAAAAAAGAAGAAGCAGAAGGGAGAGGGAAACACACAAAAAAGAGTCGGCTCGACCCGTGGCACCACCATATCTTAGTCCAGGGCGCAATCTCGCGATCGCAGATTCGCCATGGCGAGGCCGAGCTCGGGCGGTCAGTCCAAGCCGACAACACCTCCTGCAACGCTTGCGTCTTGGACATTCCGCGCGCGCAGCAAGCCCCTCTCGCGAAGGGATCCCGCGCCAACCTCACACATGCATCCCGCTTCTTCGCGACCGCCTTGTCATCCACCTTCGACAACACTCGACAACGTTGCTAGCTACGCCCGCGAAGTCGCCCCTGCAGAAGACGCCGATGCCGCCATGGAAGAAATTCTCGCCCACTGCCCTAAATGCGCAAGGATGTGAGTGGAGTTCATGATATTGCCCAGATACGCCTTCGCTTCCATTACGACTTGACCTAACTTGCGGCGCGTTGCGGCATCCAACGGACACGTCAAGCTGGAGAGGTACAGCTCGTTCAGCGACCGCTGGACATACGTCATGACGCCCATGAGGTGCTTAGCGCCTGGGGGGCATGCCTAGTGCATCGAGCGGGCGGCACCCACTTCACCGTCTTCAGCTCGGTCTCGACCCCGCCAACCCTGCCCTGGAACAAATTGCGCGTCGCGCCGACCACATCATACCTGCCCGGCAGCTCCTCCTCAACGGTGGAGAGCACGTTGCCCCGCGCCCTCGGAAGATCCTGCACCGACTCCACAGAGCGCATGGACGCAAGAGCTGGGGGGGGGGCAGTCTTCGACCCCTCTGGCACACCCGATGGGCGGGGCTGCCGCAATACCCTTCGGCGCGACTGACACCCTCACCCCCGCGCCCAAGTCACCTGCAGCAAGCTCCATGCGCACAGGGAGATGCAGCGAAGTAGCGGCGCCCTCCTGTACCCATGGCCCCCATCAGACGGGAAGCCAGAATTGGCACATACCAAGTAGTAGTCTATGGTGGAGTGCTTAGATACTTGCGTCGGCCTGCATGCAGAAGCCCCCGGGACAAAGAAAAGCACCTCAACCTCGGCCAGACTCGAGCCCGCAAGCTCCGCCATCGACATGTTGACATCACGAAGTCCACTTGCGCGGCTCTGAGTCTCGAAATGTGCAGAGCCAGCTGGGACACGATACGCTTATTCTCGTCATCCATGCCAACTGAATCGAATACATATAAAGACGGGACCACCAAGCCTCCCTTCACGCCCCAGTGGATATGTGCACCCACCAGCCTTCTAAGAACAAGGACAGCGCTCTGCACGAAGGGTGGCGCTGTGACTGTAATCGACGATCTTTCCAATACTGCCACCCCCGCGCTAGCACCCGTCTCCGACGATGCTGACTCGAATGCTGGCGCCCAGATGCCAACATGACCGTAGTCTGCCACCTCGCCGTGAAAACTGACGAGGCGATCCAGATCCGCGTTGCGATGCCCCTGCAGGGCGACGACTTGCGTGTCCGAGGGAAGATTCTCCAAACACCCAGCACAAGAGCCCCACGAAGTCATGTTGACAATAGCAATGCAACCATGCCCCATGACTGGCGACCAATTTATCACAAACAAGGCGCGCACAGTGAGCTTAGAAAGGCGGATATCCGCCCTTCGCAAGCCGCTTGGCTCTCTCGCGCAATTCTGCCTCTGTGGCCCAGCTGGCGAGTGGCCGCATAATCTTCTCCGGCTCCTTCGTGTCGGTTCCGTCTGGCTCGCAGACTGGCTTGAGAGCACGGCCTCGATGAGCACCAGCGCCTCCTGCACCAGCAAAACCCGCAGCGTCAGAACCGCAACCACTAGCTGCCACAAGTTTCGGCTACATGGCAACGATGAGTTCGTCGATCTGACCACCAATGCCTTCTGCCAACCTCTCCTGGGCCCCCGAGTTGATGCCCGCGCCCTCGGCGAGCTCGGCGACGATGGCCTCCAGCTCCGCCGTCGATACGCCCACCGTCGGGAGCGCGACGTCCGCTCCGTCGCCAGGCTCCGCCGACCTGCCGAGCTGCCTCTGCATGTTGCCGAGCGCGCCCTCAAGCTCGATCTGCTGTTTCTGCATCTGCTCGAGGCTGGCATTGGCTTCGCTGACATTATTCTGCGCCTTCTCCAGCTGCGACACAGCCCGCAACTGTGCCTCCTTGGCCTGTTCGACCTTGGCCGCCCCCGCCTTGACACGGCTGGCCAGGGCGTACACCTGCGCGTGGAGCGCCTTGGAGTTGAGCAACGTCTGCCTCGTCTCCATGACTGCCGGCCCAGCGCGCGGTGCTGCTCCTCCGCCCAGACACCAACCCCCGACTTGGCGATGGCCAGCTTCTGCTCGAGCAGCTGGACCTCGAGAGCCAGCCGCTCCGACGGTTGGTCGCCGTTGGGCGCGCCGTCGACCTGCACCTCTGGCCATCGCTCGGACGTTCATTTCCTGTGTTTTGTTTCGGATTCGTGCGTGGTTTTCGCCAAACGATCAAGGATGCTCCTCGATGGTCCTCGCCGAGGGAAGAAAATGCACATGTCCGAGCGATGCCAAGACCTCGGCCGCGCCGCCGCCGCCGCCGTCGCCCCCCGCCAGCTGTTGCTGCTGCTGGCGCTTGAGTTTGGCGATCTCCGCGCGAGCCTGCAGCAGCGCCTGCTCCACCTTGGACTTGGGCGCCGCCGCCGAGGGGCCATCACCCGCGCCCGAGCCTTGCTTGAGCCGGGTGCTAAGGGCACCTGCTGACATGACATTTCCACCGAGCACATCCTTCTTATGCAACCTGCACCCATGACACTTGAGACTGCTGCCCCAATGGACCAGCTTCGCACCAGTACGCTTGTGCAAACAAGAACGACAATGCCAATATGCGTGCGCCTTCGCGCAATTGGCCATGAGGCTCTAAGTACAGTGCGGCAAAGAGGTGCGGGATGGGACCGCAATACACTAAAAGGAAACGGACGAGCGGGGGCCCTGTGAGCTGTCGGAGGCCGCTGCCTCCCCCACACCAAAAGACTCCTGCCCTGAGCGAAACGCTACGGACTTGAGCCAAAATGGCTACGGAGTAGAAAAAAATCGATGCCAGCACGGTCCAGACTGCATCAGGGGGCGCCACGAACGGGCCCAATCCAAGAATGGAGAAAAAAACAAACAAACAAAAAAAAACTAACAAAAAAAAAAACTCCTTGCGCCAAAGGTACGCGGGGATGCCCACGCACTGCGCGCCCCGTAGGACACATGCGAGGCGACACAGGACGAAATCAAGTGGAGAAGGACCATACGATGGGCATGAGCGTGGGCCAACGAAAGCTGAGGAAGGGGAACGTGCTCGACGACGACGCAAGATTCCGGGACACCGTGCACGCAGAAGAGGGCCCTCGGCTGGGCCGTCTGCCGACAGGACTCTGGGGACAAGAGAGGCTCGCCATCGCTCGGACGTCCATTCCCTGTGCTTTTTTGTTCGGTTTCGTGCGTAGCTTTATCGCCAAATGATCTGGCATGCTCCTCTCGTGCCAGGAGAAAGGGGGGGATCGCAAAGGGGAGCTTTGAGAATCAGCTCACGTAGCTGATTTTCCCGGCGCCTCCCGGCGCCGGAGGCGGCTATGTATCGAGGAATGGGCCCATCGGTGAGGCCGAAACCAGCTGCATGCAGCAAATTTCGTGACCCCCCCTTTCCCAATCCCCCCCTTTCGCCCGGCCCGAGGGAAAAAAGGCACGAGTCCGAGCAGTGCCACGGAGGCGAGAGCGGAGGGCGACGGGGGAGGGGGCGGGGGACGGGGGGGGGGCCAGGGGGCGGCGGCGGGCTCGCGAAGAGCACCTGGCGGCGCGCAAAAAGGGGGTAAGGGGGAGGGGGAGAAGGCTGCTTTGAAGAAGCCCTGGGACACACAAAAAGAAATATTCACAAATAACAGGGTTCCTCATATGCTCCCATATTGTCTGGGTTTCTGTCTTCCCCCCCACTTCCCATATTTTTCCATCTTTTCTCTGGGATTGACGAATAATTGTGTCTGTGTGTGTTTTTTCCCTCCTGAAAGGTTTCGGCCTTACGTCTATAGAGAAGGCCCGCGCCTTCTAAGAAGCAGGGGTGCTTCTGAGAGGCCTTCCCCCCCCGCCCCCTACCGCCCTTCTGCGCGTTGCCGAAGCACGAGTCTGAGTTCGGCCGAGACTGAGATCACAAAGCTGGCTCCAGCTCCCCGAGTGCGCGCATAGCGGCGCTTGGCACGTAGGCGGCCCTGCACGGCCTCGGCACACAGAACGGACATACCCCTGTGGCTCGAAGAGGCTGGAACTCCACAAAAGTCCTGGGGGGGGGGGGGGCAGAGGTGGGGCAGGTGACGAGAAAGGGAAAAAAGGAAAGGAGAAGATGAGGAGGCAGGGGAAGGGCAGAGAGAGAGAGTGGACTGGGCCCAAGGCACGACCCCCAACTCAGGGGCACGGACCAACGCACGACCCCCGCCCACACCCCTACCCACTCGAGACAGGCGGGACGCAACCCGAGCCACGGGCACCCTCCTGGACCAGTATCTCCGCCCCCCCAAAACCCAAGACACGCCAAGTCCACTCCAACAACGCGGGAACAACTACTGCATGCACAAAATCTCCGGCGACAATTTCCGCGACCCCGAGAGGCCAGGCAGGTCGGCCCGCCTAGAGGAGATGCCCTCCCGCTGGTGGATGCCGCCGCCTTTGGAGGAGGAGGGGAGAGGAGAAGACGGAAAGTTGGGGGCAAACGAAATCTTCCACCCACTGATCGTAACGGCCGCATCTGCTTCGACTGACTCCAAGGCCGACAGTGGCAGAGGAGGAGGAGGAGCGGGAGGAGGACGACGCAATGACACCACCAAAATCATGAGGGCCGACTTCCAGTGACATTCTGACTGCAAGCTGCGGATCCTTGAGTTCTTGCGTCCGCCGCCGGAAGAGCTCCCGCAGGTTGACAACATCCGTGACGCTGGCAGGCTTGCCTGACACTCACTCCCTAAAGGTTCGCATGGCATGTGTGTACACGTGCTCAGGCAATGTGGAGCCATGAGCTGCAAAGACCTTGCATCACGTGCACATTGCAGTCTATGCCACGGCGTCCTCTGCACCGTCAACTGCTTACACTATGAAGCACCATGCAATGTAGCATATACGCCACAGCAGGAGGCAGTGCTATCGGCCGGTTCCAACAACTGTAATGGGCGTTTCGGCTCGTTTACACAGCGCGAGTGCAGATCACTGCAGCACTACGACTGAATAGAATATTGCCAACTAGATTGGGACATTAGCTGAATTGTCACTGCACCATCGTGGAGGAGTAGGCGAAAACGGGGCACCACGGTCAAACCCAGCGCTCGTGCATGCAAATTCACTTCGAACATCCGATCCAAAATTCGCTGCAGGGGTCCTCATTAAGATATATATATATATATGTATCAACAGCTAGTTACTCGAATTGTGCGTTTGTGCCCTCTCGCGCGACTCCAACAAGCAGAACAGCCATGTAAGGTAATATACGGGCAGCGTGCACCACGCGGCATGCATGAGTGCACGTTTCCCGACTGGCCGGTTCTCGATGAAGGAGAAGAGGAAGAATCGGCACAAAAGGGAAGAAATAGAGGGCAGCAGGGGCAGAAAGGGAAAGGAGGAAGGGAAGGGAAGGAACGGTTGGGTAGCGGCGGGAAGGACACATTTTGTGGATTCCAACCGGCATCGACTTCGCAACCTGAGGATCAGAACAATGAATTGCAACCACCCGTGGGACTACTGGAATTACGGGGCGCTTGTAGCTGCTGCCTCCCCAGCAGTAGGTAGAGAGGAAAGATCAGATATACCTAACAAACGACGTATCCAATGTTCCTGACGTGCTTCACGAACACACAATTTCACTTGCACTATATCCGACGAGGAGCATGTCGCAACTACAATGTCAGACGTTAGGTACACCATCCCATGCTGAACGTGGTCCGCAATGAAGCCCGTGTTTATACTGAGGATTCTTCCTTGGACACCAAAGAACTGGCCTTGTGTCGCACTTCGGGGTAGCCAGTTTCAGGGCATGCGCCTGGGTATCCAGATTCAGGGTCCAGGCGGGCCTTCTCGCGCTCTGTGCGCTGGGCCACGCTGCAGATGGCGCCCTCAGAGCCAGCCTAGATGCGCCAACGGCCCACCCTGGCGGCACGCACGGCATCCACAGGTCCGCCAGAGCAGCGATGGTTTTGGTCCTGCCCGTGGGCCCGTGTACCAGGAGAACGAGCTGGTTCGGGAGCTTCAGCACTCTGCGACTCGTTGAGCTGGTGCCAGCGGGCCTTCTCGATCGCTCCTTTCGAGACGGGTTGGATAGACCCGCTGGAACACGCTCATGCGTCACGTCCACCTCGTCATCGGTTGGAGAGCGTCTACCAGACCTGGGTCCGGGGCCGGATTGGAGTCCGGGTCGTGGATGCCGCTCCTCAGGACCGCGCCCGAAGTGTTCCTCAGGCGCGTTCCTAGGCTGCCTTGCGCCGCTACGCTGCTGGCCGTCACCCTATCGTTGACGTCTCCAGCCTGAAAGGCCAGGGCTTAGGCAACCATGGAGGCAGCTGTCCCCCAGAGCGCGCCAGTCTCGGTCTGAGTCTCAGTGCAGAACAGGTCTGGGATGGCCCCCACATGGCCTGGTAAATAATATTGCTGAGCATGCGGCGATGCCTTTTATCTCGGCGGCGAGCCCGGGGCGGGCCTTCTCAGAAGGCTCAGAGGTCCCCCACGGCCTTCTGAGAAGCTCTCGAAGACTCCCCCGAAGACAAAGAGCACCTCTCAGAAGGCCAGAGGCCTTCTGAGAGGCCCCGCCGTCTTCTGAGAAGGCCTTCTCCTTCTCACTCCCCTCCCAGGCGCGCCGCCGAATTTGGTTTTTGGGTCATCACTCGGGTCTGCGGCAGCCGTTTGGGGCGATCCCGGCACCCTCGGAACGCTCTCGGTGAGGCGCAGCCGCTGGCACGCACCCCGATGCTGGAAAGCCGCCAGGAACCGAAGAAGACCTCCGAAAGCCCCGAACCTCGAGCCCGAAGCTTTTCCCCCGTCGCTCGCCGCCGATGAAGGTGCTGCGCACACGACGCTGAGTACCCACCGAACCACCCCAACCCAACCCGAAGACCCAGCTTTCGGGTTGGGGGGGTACGGGTTCCACATGTGCTTTCTCGGTGTTCCCCTTCGCCCCCCCCCACTGGGAAGGGAGGGCAAATTGAGGCCTTCGGGTTGGGTTGGGATGGCTGGGTGGGCGACGAGCGAGGGGGGGAGCTTCGGGCTCGAGGTTCGAGGTTTTCGCAGGTCTTCTTGGGTTCTCGGCGGTTTTCCAGACTCAGGAAACGTTCCAGCGGCTGCGCCTCACCGAAAGCGTTCCGGGAGTGCCGGGATCGCCCCGAACAGCCGCCGCAGACCCGAGTGATGACCCAATTACGCTACCGAGGAACCCCACATACTTAACTGAAATATTGAGTGTTTGCTTAAGCTTATAATATATGTGCAATTCTGCGTTCTCAGCCCTCGTCGCGAATGTTCCCCTATGTGTCATCCAACGCCATATTGCTTGAACCTCCTCCCTCTTCCTAGCCTTCTATCCTCCGTCGAGGACAGATTCGAGCCAGCCAGCGGCCGCGGTGAGGGACCACCCCCTGCGCACCCCCAGTGGTGTCGAGAAAATGCCGCGCCTGCTCTGCCCTGGACGACCGTCGCGCATAGCGGCCGCGGTGAGGGACCACCCCTTGCGCAGCCTCTATGGTGTCGAGAAAGTGCCACGCCTGCTATGCCCTGGACGACCGTCGTGCATAGCGGCCGCGCTGAGGGACCACCCTCTGCGCAGATCCTGTGGTGTCGAGAAAGTGCCAATCCTGCCACGATCTGCGAGCGTGTCACGGATAGAGGCCGCGCTGAGGGACCACCCTCTGCGCACCCCCTGTGGTGTCGAGAAAGTGCCACTCCTGCCACGATCTGCGAGCGTGTCACGGATAGAGGCCGCGCTGAGGGACCACCCTCTGCGCACCCCCTGTGGCGTCGAGCAAGTGCCACTCATGCCACGATCTGCGAGCGTGTCACGGATACAGGCCGCGCTGAGGGACCACCACCCTCTGCGCACCCCCTGTGGTGTCGAGAAAGTGCCACTCCTGCCACGATCTGCGAGCGTGTCACGGATAGAGGCCGCGCTGAGGGACCACCCTCTGCGCACCCCCTGTGGTGTCGAGAAAGTGCCACTCCTGCCACGATCTGCGAGCGTGTCACGGATAGAGGCCGCGCTGAGGGACCACCCTCTGCGCACCCCCTGTGGTGTCGAGAAAGTGCCACTCCTGCCACGATCTGCGAGCGTGTCACGGATAGAGGCCGCGCTGAGGGACCACCCTCTGCGCACCCCCTGTGGCGTCGAGAAAGTGCCACTCCTGCCACGATCTGCGAGCGTGTCACGGATAGAGGCCGCGCTGAGGGACCACCCTCTGCGCACCCCCTGTGGTGTCGAGAAAGTGCCACTCCTGCCACGATCTGCGAGCGTGTCACGGATAGAGGCCGCGCTGAGGGACCACCCTCTGCACACCCCCTGTGGTGTCGAGAAAGTGCCACTCCTGCCACGATCTGCGAGCGTGTCACGGATAGAGGCCGCGCTGAGGGACCACCCTCTGCGCACCCCCTGTGGTGTCGAGAAAGTGCCACGCCTGCCACGATCTGCGAGCGTGTCACGGATAGAGGCCGCGCTGAGGGACCACCCTCTGCGCACCCCCTGTGGTGTCGAGAAAGTGCCACTCCTGCCACGATCTGCGAGCGTGTCACGGATAGAGGCCGCGCTGAGGGACCACCCTCTGCGCACCCCCTGTGGCGTCGAGAAAGTGCCACGCCTGCCACGATCTGCGAGCGTGTCACGGATAGAGGCCGCGCTGAGGGACCACCCTCTGCGCACCCCCACCCCCTGTGGCGTCGAAGGAATGCCCTGTGTGGTATGCTGTGCTGTGCTGTGCTGTGCTGTGCTGTGCTGTGCTGCTGTGCGGTGAGCTGTGCTGTGCCGTGCCGTGCCGTGCCGTGCTGTGCTGTGCTGTGCTGCGCGAGAAGGAGAAGGGGAGGGGGGAGGTGTGAGACGCGGGTGCGGCGCGGCAGGGAAGAAAACCAGAACCCCACGGAACATGTGGTGAAAAACCAAATTCGGCGGCGCGCCTGGGAGGGGAGTGAGAAGGAGAAGGCCTTCTCAGAAGACGGCGGGGCATCTCAGAAGGCCTCTGGCCTTCTGAGAGGTGCTCTGTGTCTTCGGGGGAGGCTTCGAGAGCTTCTCAGAAGGCCGTGGGGGACCTCTGAGCCTTCTGAGAAGGCCCGCCCCTTCTCACTTCCCCCCGGGCTCGCCACCGAACTAGGGGCCTACCAAATGGGATCCGCGTAGATGAGGTCGGGAGATCGCGCCGCATCGCCGATGCATCGGCGACGTCGGCGGTGCGTCGGCGACGTCGGCGTGGAGAACATCGCGCTCCATATCGAGCCGCATGGCCGATGCATCGGCGATGCGGCGCGAGCCTCCGACCCCCTCTACTCGGACCCCCCACTTGGGAGGCCTAGAGCGCGGGTGAGCGCCAGGACACGACAAGGGCTAATCCAGATTCGACCTCGGTTGGGGCCCAGTCGACGTGGTGCTGGTCGCTCCGCCTCAGGGCGAAATAGTCTTTGACCCCAGGGACATGTTCGGTGGCAACTCATGGGAGCCTCCCATCGGCTCTTGCGAGTCGACGCTAGTCAACGCTAAATCGACGAAAATCGAGGCCAAATGGACGCTGATCGAGGCTAACCGACGCTGCGCGCGCAGGTCCACCGCAATCGGCGCAAACATTCAGCCGCATCGGAGCCGTCGTCAGGCGCTAAAACACGGCCGCGTGGAGCTCCATGCGGAATACTCGGGCGAGGTGGCGTCCCTAGTCCTCCACCTCAGGGCGAAATAGTGTCTGACCCCAGGGACATGGTCGCTCAGGATGCCCTGGAGGTCGTGCTAGACGATGTGCAATGCTAGACGATGTGCAGTCGGACCCAGGCCAGACGATCATCCCACAAGAAGATGAGACCCTCCGCTGGCTAAAACACACAGAACATCCAAGGGCACCCCCTCCCCAGGATCCACGAGAGCGTCCAATAAGCACGAAGAACACTACGGTACTCTCCCCGTACCGACCTCGATCTTAGACCTCGGTCCGACTGTACTCGGGCGATGTGGTGTCCCTTGTCCTGGAGGACCCTTGCAAATTTGTCGGAAGCAGGGTCGCGCCTGGGACAGGGACGACCGGGAGCCGACCAAGCAAGGGCTACTCGAGCTATGGTATACAACTCACGTAGGCCATCCTCTCGGACAGCTTCAAGCCACAATCCTCACGCAATCACGGCTTCGAGCCGCAGTGACCTCAGTTGCGGCAAAACAGATACAAGTCCAATAAAAAGCGTGTTTGAACCCCAGGACCTTCATAAACAACAGGACCCTGAGAAGGAACTTGTTTGATTCTGCTCCCACGAGAGACTGGAGGGGGGAGGCGCCAGGGGAAAGAAGGAAGAGGGAGAGGGACAGGAGGAGGGGACGGACAGGGAGAAGGCGAGGGAGAGGAAGGGGGAGGTAGAGAGAGAGAGAGAAACAACAACAAAAAAAGACTACCAGTGAAGGCCGGGCGAGGATTGGGGTAACGGAGGGACGGGGAGGTGGGAAAGGGGCACACGAGCAGGGGAGACGAGGGAAGGCCCTCGGCGCTTCCCTTCGCGCAGCGCGCGCGCCCAGCGCTCCCCCTCTCCGCCCGCACGCACCGCCGCCCGCCTCTGCGGAGGTGGAGGAGGACCTCGTACATCTCCTTGAAGCTGATCTGGCTCTTCTCCTCGGAGGGCGAGGGCACAAACACACAACGCAGCGAGAGGCGAGAAAGGGCTCCCAAGGCGAAGCCAGGAAAGCCAGGACAGGGACAACATCGGACAGGGACAGATCAGGGCTCTCTGAGATTTTGGAGTCCCAAAAAGGTGCGGTGACAGACCGTGCGGTGATCTCGAAATCCCCCAAGACCTCACCGCACGGTCCGTCACCGCACGGTCTCGGGACCTCGAAGGCCCCCGTCGCCCGAGACGTCCTCGGAGACCGACCCGAGTCCCATAAACCGTGCGGTGACCCCGAATCCCGACCCCCGAGTCCCCCTCCTCCTCCTCCTCCTCCTCCTCCTCCTCCTCCTCCTCCTCCTCCTCCTCCTCCTCCTCCTCCTCCTCCTCCTCCTCCTCCTCGCCTCCGCCTCCGCCCTCCGCCTCCTCCTCCTCCTCCTCCTCCTCCTCCTCCTCCTCCTCCTCCTCCTCCTCCTCCTCCTCCTCCTCCTCCTCCGCCTCCGCCTCCGCCTCCGCCTCCCCCGCCTCCGCTCCGCCTCCGCCTCCTCCTCCTCCTCCTCCTCCTCCTCCTCCTCCTCCTCCTCCTCCTCCTCCTCTTCCGCCGCCCTCCGCCTCCGCCTCCGCCTCCGCCTCCGCCTCTCCTCCTCCTCCTCCTCCTCCTCCTCCTCCTCTCCTCCTCCTCCTCCTCCTCCTCCTCCTCCGCCTCCGCCTCCGCCTCCGCTCCTCCTCCTCCTCCTCCTCCTCCTCCTCCTCCTCTTCCTCTCCTCCTCCTCCTCCTCCTCCTCCGCCTCCGCCTCCTCCTCCTCCTCCTCCTCCTCCTCCTCCTCCTCCTCCTCCTCCGCCTCCGCCTCCGCCTCCGCCGCCGCCTCCGCCTCCCTCCGCCTCCGCCTCCTCCTCCTCCTCCTCCTCTCTCCTCCTCCTCCTCCTCCGCCTCCTCCTCCTCCTCCTCCTCCTCCTCCTCCTCCTCCTCCTCCTCCTCCTCCTCCTCCTCCCTCCTCCTCCTCCTCTCCTCCTCCTCCTCCTCCTCCTCCTCCTCCTCCCTCCTCCCTCCTCCTCCTCCTCCTCCTCCCCTCCTCCTCCTCCTCCTCCTCCTCCTCCTCCTCCTCCTCCTCCTCCTCCTCCTCCTCCTCCTCCTCCTCCTCCTCCTCCTGTCACCACCCTGTTTGGGGGCCCCGAGAGATCCTGCGGCGCCGGAGGGTGCCGCCGGGCGCCGCGGCCGCTCCAGAGCCCTCCAGCACAGCACGCTCCGAGAGAGCGCTCCAGGGAAGCGCTCTGGGAGCGACCTGTCCCGAGCCCAGGCCTGCCTGGAAGGTGGAGGCGCGGGGGGGGGAGAGAAGCGAGGGGAAGTAGGCACCGAGCAGCAGGGCTGAACCTAAGCGGTGTTTTTCGTGTTCGTTTTGTGTTCGTTGTCCCTCGTTTTGTCTTCAATCCGCCTTTCCCGCAAAACGGAATCGAAACGAAAACGGCCCACGAAATCGCCAAAACACCGTTTAGGTCCAGCCCTGCCGAACAGGCCCCGCAGAGGCCCGAGAGGCCCCGCGACGCAGCAGAATGACCGTGCGACGTGACGGCCACTCCGCGCGACAGGGTCACAGCACTGCCTCCCGGACGGCCCGAAGGTGATTCTACGGACCCTTCTCCCGGGGAGCTCGACAAGAGCACGGCGTTCCAGACAGCTGCCCAGGGGCGTCATAAGGGCCCGCGGGCCCTGCAAAACCACGTCTCTCCAGTGGTGTTCCTCGGGAAGCCTGGCAAAACCATCATGCGCTGCGGAAAGATAACGGTTTTTGCCGGACAGGCTCGGCTCAAGAATGGGCACCAGCAGTCTGCTGCAACCCAAAAAAAACAAGATGACCAGATGGATACGAGAGAAATGGCTGTGACAGCTGCGCCCAAGAGAAGCCGCTCGTCTCCAGACTTCCGTAATACCATCATGAGCGCTTGCCTTCAAGAATCGGTCTGTCCCGAGTCACGTTTCAGCAAATATCGCTCAAAAACCGAACAACCACATCCCTGATGCCGCCCCAAGAGTTGAGAAGCGCTTCGGCGATTAAGCTGAAGCCAATTGGGGCTTCGCAGGCTGCCTTACGGTGTTTTTGGCCCGTGTGACACCTTCGGAAGCCGTCAAGCTAGGCTCTTCGAAATCGCTTGGGTCATCTGGGGAGGCTCTTGACGGCTCTCGAGACTGTCTTGGTGGCCTCTCGGGCCCTTCTTGGGTCTCTCTATCAGGCAAGTTGGGGGCACTCCAACAGCCTCAGAGGCGGCCGCCTGATTGATGAGAAGGAAGTCAGAAACATAATCATTGTCATGATGGTAATCGTTACCGCCATAGTTACCATCACCGTTATCATCAACATCCGCATCCTCACCGTTGTCGCCATCACCGTTTTTGTCATCGACATCGTCCTCAACATCAGAACCGTCATCGTCATGACCACCATGGAAAACCTCATCATCGAAATTTGCATCATCCGTATGAGTACCATCATGATCATCATAACCAGCATCATCAGCCGCATGCTCATCACAATCACCACCCACCACCACCATCACCCTTCACATCTTCGCAAGAGCCACCCCCGCCTTCAGCAACATCAGAAGCTTCGCGGCGACGAAAAGGCTCACTCAATAATGACGGCGTGAAGCAATACCCCAACAAAGCACCGTAGTAGCAGCCAATGTGTGGAACTGGATGGACACCTGAAACATCGGTTTGCGAGAACGACCTCATCATATTTTCGATAATACTACGAAAGTGAATATGCTGATGAGGGTGACATTCGTGATGTCGACATGGTGGCATGAACGAGCTTGGAACAACATTAGGGACCGGGCGACCCCGCTCCTGGACTGGATTGGTCAGGCCCTGCCATACTTTCTGGACCTAGGACAGCTGGAACAGTGAGAATATCATGTCTTTGCCACAATTTCTGGACCTGCAACGGCTGAAAGCGAGCTGGGACACAACAATGAATTTCATTTCTAGGTCTACGAGGGCTGAAATCGAGCCAGAACACTCGGCCCCCCTTGTGGAAATCCTGGAGAGACGAATCGTTGAACTGAAATCGAGCCAGAACACCAAAGTGAGCGTCATTTCTTTCCCAGATCGAGCCGGAACACCATAATCAGTCTCATTGTTGTAGCTGGGGGGGGTGAAATCGAGTCAGAACCCCACTGGCCGTCGCTCGGACGTCCATTTCCCGTGCAGTTTTCGGTTTCGTGCGTGTTTTTTCTGCTCGATGGTCCAGGATAGTCTCCGATGGTTCTCGCCGAGAAAAAATGCACACATCCGAGCGATGCCAAGCCCATAGTGAGCCTCGCTTGTGGACCAAATCGAGGCAGAAAACCAAAGTGAGTCTCACGTCTGGACCTGCGAAGGCTGGAATCGAGCCAGAATACCACAGCGAGTCGATTCCGAACAGCCGCCAGACTGGTGAGACGCCCCCGCCCGCCCTCCCCAGTCGAGACTCTTGCGAAAGGAAATCGAACCAGAACATACTAGTGATCCGAATCGTTTTACCAAATCGAGCCAGAACACCACAGTGAGTCTCAGTTTGGGATACGGGAGGGCTAACATCGAGCCAGAACATCATAGCGAGCCCCATTTCGGAACCAAATAGCCAAGACGCCAGAGTCTGAGCTTCATTTCTTGACCAAAGTCGAGCCAGAACACCATGGTGAGCTTCATTTCTGGACTTGGGAAGGCTGCAATCGAACAACCACACAGTGGTGAGCCTTACTTCTGGACCAAATCGATCCATCAAAACATGAATTTCGTGTCTGAACCATATCGAGCTAGATCACCATAGCGAGTCGATTCTGGACCCTTCGGGGCCGCCGTCGGGCCTTGTGAGACGCCTCCTCCCGGCGGCCTCCCTGCGGAGATTCTGGTGATAGGAATCTGAAGGGACCCCAGGACACACAAATAAATACACACAAATAAAAAGATTCCCTATTTTTTTCCATTTGTTCTGGGTTTCTGTCTTCCCCCCACTTCCCATAGTTTCCCATATTTTCTTGGGAATGGACGATTAAATGTGTCTGTGTGTGCTTTTTCCCCTCCTGAGAAGCATCGATCTCTGTCAGAACCCTCGAGCGAAACGCTAGTTGGGAAAGGTATACCTTTCGTGCACCTTCGGGCCCCCCTTTCCTGCAGCCTGCAACCCTCGATCATATCCCATCAGACCGCCCCCCCTTACTCAACGCCCACCAGGGCGGCATCCCAGCATCCTCCGGAAACAGGATGTCTTTTATGCTCTGCAGCCCCTCCTCCTCCTCCTCCTCCTCCTCCTCCTCCTCCTCCTCCTCCTCCTCCTCCTCCTCCTCCTCCTCCTCCTCCTCCTCATATCCCAGCATACCGCCCCCCCTTTACTCAACGCCCACCAGGGCGACAGCCCAGCATCCTCCGGGAACAGGATGTCTTTTATGCTCTGCAGCCCCTCGATGTCGGTGCCGCAGGCCTGGAGAGAGACAGCCGGGACTCCCGCCCATGGGAGGCTGCCTGAGGCCCTCCTCCTCATCCTACCCCTCCTCCTCCATCCTCCTCCTCCTCTTCCTCCTCCTCCTCCTCCTCCTCCTCCTCCTCCTCCTCATCATCATCCTCATCCTCATCCTACCCCTCCTCCTCCTCCTCCTCCTCCTCATCCTCCTCACCATCCGCCTCCTCGATCGTCTTAATAGTATTATGCGTAATGTGATTATTAGCATTACGACTCTGAATAGCAGCATTCTTGGCATTAATATGATTAGTAGTAGTGCGTCTGGCAATATCATTGGTATCATTAGTCTTGGTATGATTAGTAGTAGCAACATGAATATGAATCGTATCATCACCTCCGTGATTTCAAATACTAATGCCAAAGAGCTACTACGACTGATTAAAAATATGGCACTTCCTCATCATCCTCATTCCTCCTACTCCACCTCCTCCTCCTCCTCCTCTTCTTCCTCCTCCCCCTCCCCCCCTCCTCCTCTTCCTCCTCCCCCTCATCCTCCTCCTCCGCCTCCTCCGCCTCTGCCTCCTCCTCCTCCTCCTCCTCCAACTCCTCCTCCTCCTCCCCTTCCTCCTCCTCCTCCTGATCCTCCTCCTCCTCCTCCTCCTCTCCTCCGCCTCCGCGCCGCCGCCGCCTCCTCCTCCTCCTCCTCCTCCTCCGCCTCCTCCTCATCATCCTCCGCGTCCTCCTCCTTCTCCTCCTCCTCCGCCTCCGCCTCCACCTCTGCCTCCGCCTCCTCCTCCTCCTCCTCCTCCTCCTCCTCCGCCGCCTCCGCCTGCGCCGCCGCCGCCTCCCCTGCGCCCCTCCTCCGCCTCCGCCTCCGCCTCCTCCGCCGCCGCCTCCGCCTCCGCCTCCGCCTCGTCCGCCGCCGCCTCCGCCTCCGCCTCCCCTCCGCCGCCTCCGCCTCCGCCTCCTCCTCCTCCTCCTCCTCCTCCTCCTCCCTCCTCCTCCTCCTCCTCCTCCTCCTACCTCCTCCTCCTCCTCCTCCTCCTCCTCCTCCTCCTCCCTCCTCCTCCTCCTCCTCCTCCCACTCCCAGCGCCGGCTCGGGGCCAGCGCCACGTGTGCCAGCGAGCTAGCGCCACCCGGCGGCCTCCCTTGGCCGCTGCTCGCCTCTCCCGCGCCCGGCCACGCGCTCAGCTGCTGAGCGACGCGCGAAGGCCGCTCGCGCACAGGACAGGGCCATGCGGCTCCTGCTTCGTGGACTCGATGCGCTTCGGCATCGAGGCTGCCACCCGACGTATGTGGGGGCCGCCCTTGCACATGTAAGACGAAGCCAGGACGAGGACAAAATCGAGTGAATATAAATCAAAAACCTCTAAGATCCGGCGGCTCTCGAGGATGTCTCGGGCGCCGCGGCCTTCTCAGAGCGTTCCGGAACGCTCTGAGAGCGTTCAGGAACGCTCTGGAACAGATTTATCCTCGTCCTAACCCTGTCCGAACATGCCCTTCATCAAGAAGACGCTCGACGTGCTGAACACGTACACCAGGGAAATGTGCATCGCGCCGTCGACGACGGTGCTTGTGCTCCTCATCCTGGTGCTGCTGTGCTGCTTCTCCAGCTTCTCCTGGGTCTACTGGTACCGCTCCTCTTACCGAGATTGGTGGCGAGCAGTCTGGAAAACAGCCTCCTGGTGAAGACGCTGCTGGTGACGGTGTTGCTGACGGTGTGCGTTCGCAGCCTCTTCCTGCAGATGGCCGCAGTCGTGCAGAGCATCGATCGCGCTGGTCTTGCCCAGGCTCGCGCTGAAGGAGCTCCTGATGCTCCACCAGCCGCTGCCGAGGCCGGTCCGGCCCGGAGCGAGGACAACGGCGAAGACGAAGGTATGTCCAATGACAAGGATCGGCGGTGGACAAACCTCCCTTTAGTAAACCTCCCCTTAGTGAAAGCGGCCCAGGACCGAAACCGACGGACCTGGACCCGCAAAAGAACGGCCGCGACGCCCTCTCGCGAACCGAAAACGGCCAATTCCTTAATCGACGTGTCAAGGTAGGAGGTCTGTCCACCCCCGAAAGTTGGCGGCGCGCACAAGGGGTAGGGGGAGAGGGGAAGGCTTCTTAGAAGCACCCTGCTTCTTAGAAGGCCTCGGCCTTAAGTCTATAGAGAAGGCCCGCGCCTTCTAAGAAGCAGGGGTGCTTCTAAGAAGCCTTCCCCCCTCCCCCTACCCCCCTCTGCGCGTTGCCGAGAAAGGACCAGGGCCGCTGCGGCCCTGTCCCAGAGCGCCGGACTTGCGTGCGGGCCGGGCGCTTCCTTCGGGCCGCGCGCGCGCGAGCAGCGAGTGCGAGGCCGCGCAGCGGCGCCGGGCCGACTCTCCCCCCGGAGGGCCGAGCGCACTGCTCCCGATTTGTCTGCCTCCTTCCCTCCTTCCCCCCCCCCCTCCCCTCCCTCGTGGGGCCGGCGCCGGTGACGGGGTGGAGGTTCGGAGGTGGGGTGCCGAGAATGGCGAACGAGCAACACACACCCATACCCATAGGGGGGTCGTTGAGAGGAGGACTGGCTATGGGTATGGGTGCGGGTTGTCGGACCCTGGGGAACGCTCCCGTTCGAGCGGGGACCCCCATCCGACAACACGCACCCATAGCCCTCTCCGACCCCCCTATGGGTATGGGTGTGTGTTGTTGGCTCGTCAGAAAAACGCCCTGGAGTACTCGGAGGGGGGCCTGTTGAGGCTGTGCAGAAATACCCGGGGGGGGGGAGCGGGGGAGCGCCTGTGCGCAACCCGAAGCCTTGCCGGCTCTGTGCGCAGAGCGCGGAAAGGGCCCTCCCGCTGGGTTCCCTGCTGCGGCAACCGTTCCGTGAGGAGGAGGGCGGGATTTGCGCCAGGAGGTGGGGGCACGTTCGAGTCCGGGTGCGCCGTTCGGACTCTCGAGCACAGCGCTCGAAAAAACGACTCGCATGTCGAACCATGGGAGGGAACGTGAGGGAGGACTGGACTGGCTCAGGGCGGGGGGGGGGGAATCGACCTGGAAGCGGCGATGGGCCCCAGATAGCGAACCCGCGCGTTGCTGGGCGGGGTGGGGCTATTGGGCCCCCATTGGCGACGAATAGGCGACGGGGGGGGTCGGTGCGCTCCCCCTCCCCAATCGCCGATCACCCTCTCGCCGATCCCCCCCCTAAAGTGAAGGAGCCCTGGGACACACAAAGAAATACACATAAATAACCAGATTCTCCACATGTTCGCACATGCTCTTGGTTTTTGTTCTTGCTTTTCTCCCCACACTTCCCATATGTTCGCATATGTTCCTGGGAAGCGACGATGAATTGTGTCTGTGTCCTTTAGTTCCCTCCTGACTAAAGGTGCATCTGAAACCAGTGCATCAGTCAGCAGAACACGGAAAAGCTCCTGACCATCGACGTTCGGAGGCCTGCGCGGGTTTCCTTGGGACTGGCACGGGGCTTCCCTGCCGGCGTCTCCAGGGCTGGCGCGCTCGCGCACGCCAGGAGGGGGGGGCCAGCGCCGATCCGCGCGGACCTCCTAAAGTGATGTTTATGTAACTAGTTGTTTCTTCCTGGACGGGCCGCACAGGCAGCATCAACCCACACCAAATCGGAAAAGTCGGATATCGGATCGAGGCGTGAACCAGAACGCGCTGCATCGGCGAGGAATCGCAGGGTGCCGCGCCAGAATGCATGACAGGGTCATGCAAGCAGCGGGCCGCAGCGGATCGTGGGAATATCGACATCGGCTCGAAGCGGGCCAGCCGAAACGCATCGATCGGGTCGAGAATGACCCTGCACAGGCGCTCGCAGGCACGCGGGCCTCATCGGCTGGTCGTGGACCTGCCCTCGCTTCTTGCCGCCCAGGTACGGAACACCGTTGCGTGTACCGTTGGGGCGTTGACCTAAGGAACCCTAAATTCGCCGGCCCAACGGGCCAGAGGCGTGCTAAGATCTCCGGTGACTGCTTTACAATCTTTCTACTTCGCGCGCGCGGGGCGGCCCCTGGGGGCCCCCGGGCGGAAAGTACCCCGGCAAGGTCCCGAGAGTCCCGGGAGGAGTCACCAGGGCGCTCCAGCAGCGCACCAACGCGGCTCCGAGACGTCCCCGAGAGCCCCAAGAAGGGCCAAGAGGCTTCCAAGAGGCCCCCAAGATGCTACATGAGGGGTCCGAGATGCCACAAGATCGCTCCAAGACGCCCACGATGGCCCCCAGACGCCCCAAGAGGCCTCCAAGAGCACTCCCGAGAGGGCCCCAAGAGGCAAAATTCACTGCTTTTCCTTAGGTTTTGGAGAGATTTTGGCGTTTCCACCTTTTCGGCTTCACGACACCCCAAGACGGCCCAAGAGGCCCCCAAGACCGCCCCAAGAGGGCCCAAGAGGCCCCCAAGAGGGCCCCAAGACGGCCCAAGAGGGCTCCAAGACGGCCCAAGAGGCCTCCAAGACGGCCCAAGAGGGCCCCAAGAACGCCCCAAGAGGGACCCCAGGGGGGGAACACGAAACAATATTTCGAGCCCTCGGCCCTCAGAAGTCCCCAGGAGGCCCCAAGAGGCCCCTAAGAGGCCCCAAGAGGCCCCCAACAGGCCCTCAGGAGGCCCCCAAGAGGCCCCCAAGCGGCCCCAGGAGGCCACCCAAATGCCCCCCCGAGCACGCAAGCAAGTGCCAGCGACGCTACACTATGGGCCGGCGGAATGAGCGAAGCGATTCAATAAGGAACGAGGCCCCTATTTTCCATAAGTTAACCTTCGATTTCCTATCGAAAACCTCAGGACAACCTAAGGCAAGCTGCGAAACAATCAAGGAACACCAAGCCCCTCCCCATCGAAAAGGGTTCCTTCTTCAGCGCCCCGACTGTATCACTCCGCCCTCCCCGAGCCGAGAGGAAAACGATCACCTTCCAGGCGGGCCAGCGGACGGCTTCCCGAGGGAGTCGGGCCCGGGAACAGCACCGGACGGGAGGCCTCTGGAAGCCTTCGGGTCGAGCAGGTCAGGGGAAGGCTCTCGTCTCTCCTGGGCACACCCTCCTCCTCCT